AATTTTTGTTGGTTTTGGATATTGAGGGTAAAGTTGGAAATTATTTATCAAATTTATGGATTGTATTCACTTAACCAAACATGAGTGCATGGAAATTTGAATCACCAATCCACGGATTTTATATTTAAACTAAACAATGGAATTTATTAATTACATGGATTTTGAATCCCTGGATTGTACAAAATCCATGGATTTTAAAATCCCCCAATCCAAACGAATCCTTAGTATTTTAATATTTTAAAAATGTGTTCGATATAATATTTGAAAACTATAGAAAACTAGGAAGTCAACTTTTAATCATTTTCTAATTTAAACTTTTTAGGATTGTATACAAAAATTGTTAAAAAAAAAAATTCGATTTATTTCTACCAAACACATTTTCATAAGATTTGATGTTATGTAACCCTTGTTTTACCCCCACGGGGTTAGCCTGGTAGTCAAGAATGTTTGCTCTCTTCACTTACTTTCTAGGTTCAAACTAGGGCTGAACATGGTAGCGGGTAGAACAGGAACCGGCGTGTAGAATCAAAACTGAAACCGAAATCAGAACCTACCTGGAACCGACATTGTGTGGTAGGATTTGGTTCTAATTTTTTGGAACTAGACCCGAAACCTATAATGGGAACTACTTCGAGTGCCCGGGATGGAACTTGTCTTGGAACCGGGACTAAAAAAAATATCGATAAATATTGGGGGTCTATTGTAATTTTGGATATAAAAGTTAAAAAATTGAAAATGGGATGAAGACACTTATAATTGAGTCAAGTGACGTGGCAAAGAAGTGGGTGGAGGCCTCACTTGGTTGGTAGATTATACTAAATTATAAATATTATAGGTTGCATTTGTTTCATTATTTCACCACTATCCTGTCCCTATTCTAAATACAAATGCGCATTTGTTTCCTGTTTTCAAAATCATATCCTAAATTAAGAAAATTTTTAAACCCCCTAAGTTTGTTATTTGACAAAACACTCCTAACAAAAAAATTTATAAAGTGACAAAAACGCCTCCACCCACCTGTAGTTGCCAGATTCTGACAACCACAGTCGGTGGTGGTCGGAATCTGTCACAACAGCACACTACCAGTCGAAAATGGCCGGTAATGCGTTGATCTGGCCTTTTCCAGCCAGATCCACCATGGATCTGTGGTGGATCTGACCGGAAAAGGCCAAATCGACACACGACCGACCAGATCTGATTGGCCATGCGACGTAACGCCAGATTCCGGTGGTGATGGTCAGAATCTGGCAACTGTGGGTGGGTTTTATATATTGGGTGTTTAGTTAAATTAACATACCTATGGGGTTTTTATGTTAATTTTTAAATTGTATCTCGTAATAATCACCCAACTCTACCTACCAATAATATTTCAAAATTACTACTCAAAAATACTAAAACAAACACACCCATATATTTTTATAATATTAAAGTTTTAATTAATTAATTAATTAAATAAGTATATAATTGGAATTAGGATCCAATATTTAAAAGTGTTTTAATGTTATTAAAAGTATTATTTTTGAATAAAATAGTATATTTGATTGAATAATATTTACTTCAAGTCTTCAATTATCAAGTTTTAAGTATATCTATAAGAAATTAGTCATTACATATGATAAATTGATGAATATTAGTACATTACTTAAATTAAATGACTAAATATTTAATTAGTTATAACATTATCATATGACAACTCATGGTATATTAAAAAAGACAAGTGTTTTGTAATCAAACTTAAATTAATGATATAAAAAAAACTTAGAGTCATATTAATTATTTAATTAAAGATTCATAAATCATGTTTATATTAATATTTAATTTGATTCTTTTGTCACAACTAATCTTTTGTGTTTTGGTTTTGATTGAGAAATTTTGTGTGAATTATGATGAATTGATTGAATTAAAGTATTGCCTAGAGATTAGAGGATATGTGAGTCACATTGGACAAAAATGAATGATTAATGAAAAGTTGTAAACTATTAAATGCAAGTTTTTTTTAATTTGTTAGGGGAGTATTTGTAAAATTTTAAGGTGGATAGTCATTTTTTTAAATTAATAAGGAGGTAATTGATTTTTTACAGCATACTTAGGTAAGGAACTGGAACTTGCATTTCAAGTTATTGTTTTAGGAATCTAAGAACCAAAACCGATCGGTTCCAGTTCTTTTGGTTGGGAATCGACTAGTTCCGGTTCCCTGAAAAATTGCAAGGTACTTGGAACCGCTCACTCCTAGTTCAAACCATCTTGAGGCCATCTACCAAATTTGTGACTCCAATGTTTTAAAACCCGATCCGACCTAGCTAGTTGAACTGGTTCAACCAGGACTCAGGGCCTTCTTCGAGCTGGGTTACCAATTTCCTTATTCATTGAAAACCCTCAAATTGGGATAATGATCGGTAAACGATTGAAGGTCGGGATGTTAGGGGTTTGGAAAAGGAAGGGCTGATGAGTGCAATGGTGCTCACGAAAGTGATTTATGGTAAGTAAATCAACCACAAATTGAAAAAAAACGCGTGGCTGCAACTGCCGGTTGTTTCTGATGATTGGCGAGGCGAATAGGGGTGGGGTGAGATGGATTTTGGTCAGGAGGCTGAGGGGAGTATTTTCGTGGTGATGGGGAGGGTTATCGATGTCGGTAGTGGTGAGTTGGGGTGTTCAGAAGAATGTAGAAACCAAACCGAACTGGTAATCAAATTTTCGGTTATCCAAAAGACTAGTTCGATTTCAATTCAAAGAAAATAAAAAATAGAATTTTCGATTCGGTTATCGGTTTGGGAGAATATGGAAATCGGTTTATTATAAAAATATTAAATTAAAATATAAAATAAAAAAATCTAGTTTATTATAAAAATATTAAATTAAAAAATATATAAAATATTAAATCAAAATCAGTTAAAGAGTTTTCCCCTTAACCAACTCGGTTTCAGTTAAGGAAAATTCCTTAACTGAAAAATTGGTTCGGTTCATAAAATCGGTTTACCGGTTTTAAACACCCCTAGTGGTGAGATCTTGCTTGGGTTGTCAACGTCGGTGGTGGTGAGATCGATTTTAGCCAGATCTTGGGTAGATTTTCTGGGGAATGGCTAAAGGATGATTGAGATTGCATTTGGTGTGTCACTGTTGCCAACTAGTCGACCACCAATTTGTATTTGGGGTGTGTTTGCTAAATTTCAAATATGTAGGGACTTAACTGTAATATTTAGGGGTGTATTTGTTGAATTTTAAACTTTTGGACACCCGGTTTGATCGGCTGGTCAAACTGGGACTCGGCAACTCTGCCAGGTTTCACCCTGAGTTGGTTATTAAAAGACTTTTTGAAACATTGGGCTTGTAAGCTATTCAATGGACCTCGGGGAGTATTTGAGGTGCGCACAAGCTGGCCTGAACACTCCGGTTATCAAAAAAAAAAAAAAAAAAATGTAACCCTTGTTTTCAAAAACAAAAATTGTATATAAATTCGATATTAAATTTCCCAAATTTTTGATGTCATTAGAGGTTTATTTTATTCGTCCCTAAAAGTTTTAATCTTTTTACAAGTTGATTAAACTTAAGCGGAATTGGTTAACTTGTTCGCTTTGTGCTTATGTGTAGGCTTGTTCATCATCAACATAAACAAATCATCCATGGCAAAAGTAAAGAACACAACACATTTTTACATAATTCGGCAAGCTAATCCGCTATGATAAACTTTTAGTGTTCAAATACAAAGCTAAAGATAAGCACAAGTTGCAAAATACTCATGGTTTAAGACAACACTTCAATCTTCTCTCTTTGGTTGAGCCTCAAACCACCATAGCTAGCTTCGCACACAAGACCACTTGGTTGGCCTTGAGCTCCTCTCAAGGTTCATCACAGAAGACGCACTTCAACTCCAGCAGTTTGAAACTCCTCCAAGCAAGCACAAATGGAACCACATTCCAAAACAAAACTCAAACAAGCAAGAGTAAAACAAGGTATTTCAAGTCTACCAAAGCATAACAAAAACAAATGAAACCTCTAAGGAATATGTAGAGAATTATCATAGGTATATTTAGGCTTGAAATGAAATGCATTGGTAAAGAGAATATATATAAAACTTGTGCACCAATGCAAGGGGTAACCAACCAACATGTTGCTTTTATGTATTGGTAAAGAGAATATATATAAAACTTGTGCACAAATGCAAGGGGATAACCAACCAACATTTGCATTTGTGTTTTGCCATTTCGGGAAAGTTTTCACCGAAGTTTCTTGAGACCATAGACAAGGCAAAAAAAATTTCTTAGTACACCATATGGGCAAATAACAAGTGTACATGGACCACTTACACATATCTCAGATAAGGATAATATCCTAGCAACTACTGGAGATGCAACATATGTACATAAATATCTAGCTGGGCAAGTGTCATCACACAGACTCTGATGTGCCCAGACGACATGCATGAAAACAAACTTAACTTAGTATGGTCACGTCGACACATAGAGATATAGCATTAGAATAGAACATAAATGATTATGCATGAAACAATATGAAGTCCCCATATCAAAATTAGTGTTACGACACTAAACTCATAAGTTGATAAAATACTTACAATCCCTTTCATAGATAGTTAACTCTCAAGTGTTACAACAATTTTTGGAAAGTACTAAAAACACCTCTGATGAGGTTTCTTTTTTATATTTTAATGATGCTTTCTTTTTTTTTTTTTTTTTTAATATCTGTACGAGGTTTTTTTATATGTTCATAGGAGGCTTTTGATAATTTTAGGAAGGTATCTAATACTTCCGAAATTGTTGAGACGCTTGATATTTAGCTATCTCTCAGAGGTGAATAAAATTAACCCCAAGCATCAGATAAAGATAAATAATCCCTAAGAAAACTACTTTGTCTCTGTATTAACTTTTCCAATACAGTAATATACAACATAATGCAAATAGGTTTTGCTATGGTTTAATGATGGAGCAATACATTAATGTGAAACTTATAAATCAAAAGCATAAAACTTGTAATATCCTCTATTATATGGTTGTATTATGTCAAGAAGTGCTCACAACACAGAAAATGATCCTATATCAACCCTAAGGTGTTCTTAAACATATTATAGATAGTATCAGTATCCACCTTCTGTTCCTGGAAATTGCGAAAAAAGAAACAATATACGCATGTAAGATCTTCCGTGTACTGAAAAAATAAGATAATGATAAGTGCAGAAATATGAAAGAAAAAAATAATAATAATAAAAGCAATTGCTTACTTCATATGATTCATTGCAAAAAAATTTATTAAACTTAAACACAGCAAAAGTCAAAATATTTTCATTATAATATCCTACGTTGAAATTGTTCATAAACCTTTTGGAAAAATTTTGCATTTCGTTGAAATTTTCTATGCTGAAATTATTTTTGCAACTCAACGGTGAAACTAGAAACAAGATTTGGAAAACAATCACTTCAATGATAAATTTATGAATAGCAATAATTTTGTTGATGCGTGATTTTTACACCAACGAAACGCATGTGTAAAATGTTGAGTTGGCCCAAAGGACACATGTGAATGTAAAGGAAAATGATAGTGAATGCAATGGAGACAGTTTTTAAAGTGGTTCGGATGCTAAGGTAGCAAGTCCTACATCCACTGATGCTTATATTAATGATAAGGGTCAGGTCGCTTTTAGCTGACTGACTTTACAATGGTAATACAAGGTATCTATTGTTGTCTATTCTAGAGAGAGAGACTGGTTAAGAGTAAAAATGTGCCAATCCCCTCAATGAGAGAGAAGCTCTCAACTTATAGTGGGATGCCTTGAGGTAATGATCACTGAATCTGTGACTTGGTGGGATGATCCATGCAAATCCTTCTTTATGTCACATTACCCATCTTCTAGAGTAATTCACTTGATTTGGAGCAGAGATTGGACACGCGGGATCATCACAGCTTCTGGCTGGCATGACATGCACCCACTATTCTGACGGAAGCAGGCTGTGGGTGTACCCATGATCACACGACGTGGCTACACCAGAATGCCAGTGAACTCTTCCCGAAGTCTGACCTTTCGCACTTAATTGGATGCCACGTCAACCCTATTTTCCCAGGCATAACAGAAGTCCCCTAGTTTTTAAGGTTTGAGAATCGATCCTTGGGAACTACAAGTCATGCCGTAATTGGATGATTCTTGGCAATTTTGGAAATTCTGGCTTGCTTGAAAGTAGGTCGGGATGGCACTTTTGTGAACACGACCTCGCATGTTCATTGTTTGCAGAGGACGAGCGACTTGATTTCGTCAAACGTCACCTATTGTCCTTTTGATATGGGTGCATTTAATGAAGCAATCTCTGCGCTGACAGATGTGCCCTGTGCGTGATAAGTGCCAACCAAACGCATTAAATGCGTTGTATGTTGACACAGTGTGCTTTATCAGAACATTGAATACGCTATATGTTGGAACGACGCCCCTTATCAGGGCATTAAATGTGGATTTGAGACGCAATTAATGCTCTGAGAGAGATATGGCCGTCGTTTGAGCTTTTCAACGGAAAAGATGAAAGTTTGACTTTATCCAGTCATGACGTTCACTCTTCCCCGCTGATGAGCGACACGTGGCTGAGATCAACAGTAAGAAATCTTTGTCGCCCAAATGTCGTTTCAATTCTGGGAAATCCAAGCGCCGATTCGCATGCTATAAAAACCTCAAATCGCTCTCAGGCAATGTCACCAGAGCCTTTTTCACAGAGAGCGAAAGATTTTTTACAAATCTAGAACCTTTGTCTTCCAAACCTGCATTTTTTCGGCATTTGAAACAGAAGCTGTTTTCATACTCCGAGAGGTAAGAACTTCTCTGTCGTTATTTCATTATTTTCATGGGTAAATGGCATCAGTCTTCCGGTAACCCATCGGAGACGAGACGTTTACATTGGGTTCGAGCCATGAATGGTGGCTCGAATCGCGCTGTTAGGGTTTTCTTTGGGATTTAGGGAGTTTGTTTCCTCCCACGTCACCCTACGAAATTGCGTATGACGACCAAGTGACCTTCTGCTTGTCGCTTTTGCAGACTGGCAAAATGGACCCCTCAACAACCAGATCCGAGTAAGGAACCGGCTCGTCCCCATAGGGTGCTCCGAGTGTCCCTCTCGAGGTCTTCTCGGTACTTACCAGGGACGAGCTTGAGAGGGTAATAAATCAGTACGGTATCGAGGTGGACGTTTTCCACAACCTGACGCACTCATCACGATATTCGTCAAGCGGCCTGGCTGCGATCTCCGAGGAGATTATCAATGGTGGGGGACTAATCCCCTTTCACCCTTTCATCAGGTCATTTTTGGACCACTTCGGGGTTGCGCCGATGCAGCTGACTCCGAACTCGTACGTCATTGCTATTGCAATGTACATCGCATGCCAGGAGAGCGGGCTGGGCGAGCTGACCGCGATGGAGCTCGGCTGCTTGTATTTTCTAAAAAAGAGCAAGGACAAGGACTCGTATTACTTGTCCAGGCGACCCACTATCACCGATGGGGTACATAGTTATCCTAGCAACGTGGGGGCCTACAAAACAAAGTTCTTCTTCTTTCGCTATGATGGCCATTGCCGCTTCCAGGAACCGAGTAAGCCTCGTTCTCTTTGCTGTTGTTTGTTTTTTTGTTTTTTTTTTTTTTACAAACTCATTACATTCAAAGTGTGCTCTTTCTAACAACCTGATTCTTTTCTGACAGTTAACAAAACGACCGACTTAGGGCTGCTCTTCAATAGAAGAAGAATCGTGCACTTCGGCTCCCTACCCGAGGACAAGCGCGACGCGAAGAAACTCACGACAACCATGAATTTGCTGAAATACGGGTTCTTTAACACAAACGCGTCGTTAGAGCCTCCACCGAGTAAGTCCTATTAACTGATTCTTTTCTGGTCGTGAAGTAGAATACCTTTTCTTACGATGCTTTGCATGCAGCACCCATGCCTTTGAAGGAGTCAGAACAGCCGCGACGAAAGCCGCTCAATTTTCCTCGGTCAAAAAAAGCTAAGGCAACCGATGCTGCTCCAACCATCCCCTCGGCTGAAGGCGCGACATCGGGTCAACCGGCACGACCTTCCGGAACCTCTCAGCCACAGCCGTCAGAGGACATGCCAATACGAACCACGAAGGTCTCCCAGCCATCGCCTGCTTACCCGAGGATGAAGACAATGGCTCAACGAAAGAAGATGAGGCAGATTCAGGTCGAAGAGTCAGAGACCGAATCTGAGGGTGAGCATCCCAAGAGGTCAAAGAAGGACATCGAAAAAAGGTCGGGTAAGGAACCGATGGACGACACAACCACTGTTGAAGGCACGAAGAAGGATACTCCAGTGTTGGACTCGCTGGGAACCTGTCGGAGTACCTGCAGCCGGTGGTCTACACTTTATTAGAATGCGGACTCTCAGAGTCATTTGAGCAGTTCACAAACTCCAGCGACGTGGACCTAATGTCCACATCGATCCAACACTAAAGCAAGATGAGCGAACTGTCCTCGGCGAGGACTACCTTTGGCTTATTTTGATTGGCTAACTCTATCTTTATTTGCTCACAGGCCCTTTTTTCCATGCGAATGTCCCTGGAGAAGGTTTAGCTGGGAGCTACAAAGGGGGAGGTCGCTCTGAAGGAAAAGAACGCAAAGCTCAAACGAAGCCTGGAGGCCGCCGAAACAGAGAGAAACCTATCTTTTGAATCGGCAAACCGGTACCAGAATGAAAGAGACGCGGCTCTTCACACGGTGGACTTCCAAAAGGTGCAGCTTGAGAAGCATGGAGAGGAGATAAAGGAGCTACAAAGGACCATAGCCAGACTTTCCAAGGAAGCCGGGGAGAAGGAACAGGAACTCAAAGTGACCTCTCTGTAGGTCTTGCGAACAGAACAAGAGAGAGAAGCTTCCGAGAAGCTAAGGTAAGCTCTTGAAGTTGAACTTCAAGCAAGTCAAGGAAAAGTTGCTTCCTTGACAGAGGAGATGCAGAATCAGGCAATGGAGGTCGAGGAGAAGGCTGCCGAATGGGTGATCGAGTCTATCTACACCTTACGACCGAAGAATCCACGACTTGATATGTTCGACCTCCCGGAGAACTGGCGAGACACACTTATGTAGGATGATGAAGCAGCAACCTCCCGAGCAAAAGGTTCGGGACTTGCCTCGAATAAACCCTCAACTGACCAGCCCTAGGATGACGAGTCGTTCCTTTAGGAGCTAGATTAGGGCTCTTAGTCATGCCATTTTGCCTGCTGTACTCCTCATTAATGAAATACATTTTGACTTTTACAATTTTTGTTCGCTTTATTATACATAATTACTTCCTGGTTGCTTACATTAAGTGTGATAACATAACACATTTATGCGAACAAGATTTCATGCGAAGATTGTTACAAGCGCACAAAATAACACTTTACAAGGAAATGATTTACAAAAATCAGAAATTAATTTACAAGGAAAACTGAGTTCAGAATTACTGATAGTATGGTCGAAGGTGCTCAGCATTCCAAGCTCGTGGTACTTTGGAACCGTTCAGCCTTTTGAGATGATAAGTCCCCGATCTAATTACTTTGTCAATACGATATGGACCTTCCCAATTCGGTCCTAAAACTCCTGCACTTGGTTCCCTGGTACCAAGAAGAACTTCCTTTAACACAAGGTCGCCGACCTGGAAGTCTCTTCGCCTGACTTTTGAGTCGAAGAACCTCTTCGCTCATTGCTGGTAGGCTACTATCCTTAGTGAAGCCTTGCTGCGATGTTCTTCAACAAGGTCTAGGCTTGCTCTTATGAGTGCTTTGTTGTCGGCCTCATTGTACAAGTCCCTCCGAAGTGAACCAGTTCCTACCTCTATAGGGATCATCGCTTCACATCCGTATGCTAGCGAAAAAGGTGTTTCTAAGGTAGAGGTTCTCGGAGTTGTTCTGTATGCCCATAGGACTTCGGGGAGGTCGTCGGCCTAATTTCCTTTGGCTGCCCCAAGTTTGGCCTTCAGAGTGTGCTTGATGGTTTTGTTGACAACTTCAACTTGGCCATTTGCTTGCTGTCCTACGACTGGGCAAATTTTTTATGGATGCCCAACTCGTCGCAAAACTGCTTGAATTCCTCGTTGTCGAACTGTTTCCCATTATCCAAGATGAGGTTATG